ATCTTCATTATATATATATATATATATATATACATAAAATTAACAAGCAGGGGTTCAAACTTTTAACAGCTCTTCTAATTAAATTTATAGGGACCATCATACTGCTCTGATAACGCCTATATTTTTGGAAATTGGGCTCAGAATCCATCGGAAAAAAATATGTTTATTCAGTGAAATCATGTTTTTTGTATCCGATTTCGGAACTTACAGCGCACTATTTAATTGGCATGTTTGAAATCACCTCCTTGAACCGTTAAGATTGAGTCGTAGAACATTAGATCATAAGAGAATTAGATCATAATTTATTCAGGGTAATCCGCCTTTTTTTCTGAGCTTTGTATATAATATTTCTAAAGCCAGTATTGCAAAAATTTGTCCTAAAAAAATGTGTTTTCAAAAGATTCTTTCAAAAGATGCTTTTCTATACGAATCTTGCAATAAATATGAAAATATCACTTCAAAAAAATACATTTGGTTTTTTTGTTATAATCTGATATTTAATATCAGTATGAGAAAACATTTGAGGAAAGCTAAATAGATCAGATTTTTATAGTATATACGATAGATATTTGGAAATTAGTGGTTTGAACACAACAGATTCTAGGCCCACATTGAAACGAATATCGAAAAAAGTTAATACTGCTTCCTTATTAATGTTATTTTATAAAAGGCTTTGGGTTATTGGATTTCTTTAGGTTGTTAAAAATCTTTCTTAGATTGTCTACTGACATATCCTATACAAATATTTACCCACATGCAAAGCGTTTCAATGAAGCGATGTGGAAGTGAAAACCGTTGCCATCCTCTACCTAAATATCAAAATCTCATTCATGATCTTCTTCCGTCATCTTAATTGCCTGAGGGGTGTATCCACAGAAAGTATTCTATAAGAATAGTTGAGTGCAAGCTAAGACAAGTCGAGACAAGTCTGTAAGCGACCTAAAAGATAACGTTAAATTTAAAAGCTATGTCTCAAGAATATTTCTGCAATTCTAAGTGCAGATAAGAGTTCAAGCATTATTTAAAGGCATCAAACAACACTCTGCAGCTGAAATTAAGAAAACTCTGGTTTTGTCTTCAGCTATCAGTCTCATTCAGTTTAGTCCATCACTTCAGACTTGTTTTCTCTAAATACAAACACTTGTGTTGCTAATATTTTGAAAAACTAAAATTTTTGAACTCTGTGAAATTGGTTCAAAGTTCACTCAGAATATAAGAATCTTGAACCAAAGTTGCATTCAAAGTTACTGCAATCTCAATAAGTTTTTAAGATGATATGTGTTTTCGTTCAAACTGAACCATAATATCATGTATTAAAATTCAAAAAGGATAAGCTTAAGGATTAGCAAAAAAAATCACGATCGTTAATATTTATCGTGATTATCTACCACTGAAGATTATTGATAATTGATAATTAATTGATTAATTGCTAATTAGTTAGTCAATTATTTGAAAAAATCGAATTGGTTCCCGCATTTAATTATTATTTAAAGATATGATTAATTATTTAGATAAAACATTAGCAATTAATTAAAGAAAAAATATTTATTAAATAAATAAAAATTTATTAAAGAAAAATAATTGCTTAAAGAAAATTTATCAATTAATTAAATTGAAGAATTAGTTTAAATTTACGAATTAGTTATCACAATGCGTTATTGTGGTTAAAAAACGTGATGCACAATAAGTGTACATAATAGTGATACACCAGAATGAAAATGCTGGAAAATATAATTATTGGCATCATCAATTTTTTAAGACGTATAAAGCTTCATCTATCGCTTAAATCTGGCACAGAATCAAATATAAAAATGAACTAAAATACTAATTATTAACTAAAGAAAAATCTATTAATTAAAGATTGATTAAAGAAAAATGTAATTAAAGAATTTGAATTAGATTAAAATTACAAATTAGTTCTCACGATATGTAATTAGGGTTAAATAACGTGATGAACAAGTGTACATAATAGTGGTGCTCAACTATAAAAACACTAGAAAATTTAATTATTCGCATTATCAATTAATTATTGGCACAATCAATATAAAACTAGATCTGGTACATAAAACTCTATTGAACACAAAAATTAAAGCTAACTGAAACATTAATAATAAATTTAAATAAATAAAAATGAATTACTTAAAAAATAATTGAGAAAAACGTAATTAATTAAAGATATTAAAGAACAAGTTAAAATTTCCGATTTAGTTATCACAATATGTTATTGCAATTAAGTAACATGATGCATAAGTGAAGATAATAGCGATGTACAACTATGAAAATGCTCGAAAATATAATTATTGACATTATAACTTTTAAGACACATAAAACTAGATCTGGCACATAAAACTCTATCTTACTAAACCATACATTCTTTTTATTAGACGCTGTGTAGTTGTATCCGGTGATATGACAAAAAATGTCAGGTCATATCAGTTAGGTGATATGATAGCCTCCATCCTTACTCAGCAATCAGTGTCATAATTCTTTTTAAATATTTTCCAGCTTTCTTTTACGCCAACAGCTTTATGAGGTTTATGGATGGATTACAAGTTTGTGTCTTAGTTTTTTGTTCATAACGCATTACTCAAGAAGAAAAAGAATATAAACTTAAATAAGCACAGAGTATGCATCGAAAACTTAACTTATATTAAACATTTTTCTCTTATTGCACATATAATATGTTAATAAAAAAAAAAACTTTCTGTGTTTAATCGTCCACACTTTAATAAATTTTCATGATAACTTTAAGTGGATACAAAAATTGAAACTACTAGCACATACATACTTAAAATAAACTTTAAGAAACATATCTGTGAATTCTAAACTTATCATTAGAGAACGAGAGTGCATTTTTTCCACTTGTTATAAGTAAAATATTTGTTTTAGCAACATTTAAGATTAATAAACCTTTTACATTCTATAGAACTAGTTCAAAGTTGCAATTAGTTCCTTGAACAACAATACCATGCAAATTTATAACAGCTTTAATAAATTGCCCACTGAGAAAAAAAGTAAGGTCAAAATTACCAGAACAGGGTAAAATTTACCGTGTTTCTGGCTCTATGGGAATACCAAAAAGCACTGAAGTTTTTACCGTAACGATTTTGTAATGAATTTGGTAAAATTAAAAATAAAGCATTGTCTTATACTATGCGTTAAAAGTTGATAAATGTAGTAAAATTAGGTAATTTAATCATGATACTTTAAAGCATGACATAAAAATTATTTATTCTGTTAAATTTACTTTTCAGTTTTGCATTTTGATTAAATGTGAAGTAATAAAGATTATTATTTGGAAAAATCAGGATTTTCGGTAAACCGTTACTATATGAACGGGAACTGTTACAATATGAATCGTTCAAATTTTGCACATTTTGTTTTTATTACTTAAATGTCTTTAACATACAGTAAGGTAGTTTTCTCCGTGCTGCAATGAAATGCGTTTTCTTTCACACTAAATCTCAAAATCTGGCATCAAAAGCCAAGTAGTTTTAGTTTTTTTCAGAAAGAATAGTAGCTCTACCTTTCGTTTTCGTTCAATTAATTTTAATTATAGAGACTTTTTGTAAAAAAAAAATATTTAATCTTTTTATTTGCGCATCTTAAAAGCATTAAATTGGTTATACATTAAAAGTTATGACTTACAACTCAATTTGAATGTGTAAAATATCATTTTTGCCACCAGCACCTAACATTATAGCTGAATACAAAAGGTTAATTTTTAATGTAATTAAAAGCGTGTTAAATACGTAGTGCATATAAATGTTGCCAAATATGAAGGTAACTTGAATTACGAACTATATCTTGTCATTAATCTTTTCTTATTTTCACAATTTATCACAAAAATTAGTTTACTTGTCCCTAATAAACCCACACCAACTTCGTAAGCTACAATTAAGCCCTAGTAAACCCCCCCATACTATGAACGTTAATGAAATGACCAATGATTATCCACATATTGCTTAAAAAAATAGAATCTATAACTCCTTCCCCTTCATATACTAGTGAAATATATTAAGTATTAAGACTAATAACTTTAAAATAAAATAATTTTTGTGAGGAATGAAACAAACGGCATGGCTATTGTAAAAGCTATAAAATTTTTATGCTGAAATTTTGAAGTTTAGTTACAAAAAATGCTCAGAGATGTCACTGTACTCAATGCAGAATTCTGAACAAACATTTACTGTATTTGAAATAAACATATGGTTATTCTTTTCATTCCTCTATCACCCTTTACTAAGATTTTTAGTTTCGAAATAAGTCAATCTTCCACTGGACAATTGGAATGTCATGTGTACTATCAAAGTATGTTTAGTAGTTTGTGTAAATACTGTGAAGATTAATTTCATTAATATTACCCATTTAGTATTGTTTAAACTTGATTGCGCTTAAAAATTTCTGAAAAATGATTTATAATATAATTTTACTTGGTTCTACACTATAGTAGTAGTAGTAGTTCATTTACGTCGCACTAGAGCTGCACAAGCTGTTATTGGCGACGGTCTGGGAAGCATCCCTGAGGATGATCCGAAGACATGCCATCACAATTTTGATCCTCTGCAGAGGGGATCTGCACAATAGTTGAAGTAAATTAGAAAGTAGTATGTTTTGAAAGAGAAAACTGAAAAAAAGCTTTCTTCAAAAAATAAATGTTTCATTTATTTGTTCGCGTCAATGGTTGTTACTCTTAGTAAATATTGTTAACTTTTGAAAAAAATGATGTTCGAATGTATATCATTATTTTCAGGTGACTGCGAAACACACCGGAAAGAACAAAAAGGACCCGTCTTCAGAACGGAACCTCTATCAAGAGTAGAATTTTCAAACAGCAGCGGTACTGAGCTTCGATGCAGTGCCGATGGAGCACCCTTCCCTCGCCTTATCTGGCAAACTAAGAATGGTGAGAGTGCCCGAGATGTTACTGGTCTGAGATTCACAAGGTCTGATGGCACTCTGGTATTTCCGCCATTTTCGAGAAATGACTATCGTCAAGATGTTCACGATTCTGTTTACCAGTGTGTAGCAATGAACAACGTCGGTTCCATACTAAGCAGAGAGGTTCATGTCAAAGGAGGTGAGATTTTTAATATGTTATGTAGTTACCTAAAACACCTCTCTTTATGTAAAAAATTATGCGAAATGTATTCGCTTTTCCTTAGAACAGCTTGATATAAATATTCAAACCGAAACATTTACGAACGAGAAAGAAAAGGAAGAGTTACTGTAGTATGGTATTTAAAATTTAACTGAGGGTACTGAGAGGTTGGTAACTCCACACCTACAGAATGGATTCAAAAGAATTTTCAAATTTATATTTTGCGAAAAATATTTAGACTGTAAAATTATCTAACCCTTCTCCAATTAATAAAATAACAATACAAACTAGCGTAAATTAAATTTTCAAATCTACACAATTCATAATGATTTTATAATTTTTTTATGATTAAAATTTTTTATACAGTCAGAATTTATTTATAGTATTTCCAGAAATTCTCAAAGATCTAGTTATTTCAATAGAATTGTCTAGTCAGCCTGCTTTGTGTATTTCAGCAAATATTCGCTATTTATATATTTTTATATTTTTTTCTGATATTTATATCTAATATTTTTTTTAAATATACATTTATATAAATCAGAATATTTAATTAGCATTTCTTGAGATAAAAAGATATTCAAAAATAAAATTAATTGAGCTTACACAGAGTAATCAATTGTAATAATTCACACAGAATAGTATGAGTAATTATTAAATCTGCGTATTTTTTATTCAGTCTGTATTTCAATATCGCGTTTCAGAGCAAAGATAATCATTTAAATAAGAAAAAATAATTTCACCTTTGCCTGTTTGGGTTATCGAATTCAGACACAAAAAGTAATCAAGTTTACAAGGTATAGATACTGACAATATTAATTTAAATAGAATATTACGAGCAATTATTAGATATGCATATTTTTATTTATTCTGTCAGAATTTCACTAATTCATTTCGAAGCATTCATTAAAAGGTAATTAATTTGAAAAAAATAATTCACTCATAATAATCCACTGATACAAATGCAAATCCAGACAAAAAAAATGACTCAGACAAAAATGACTATATTTACTGAGCTGACTTAGTAAATATACTGATACTAGTAATTCGTACAAAATAATTTGGGTAATTATCAACTGTGAATAGTTTTTATTCATTTAAAATTTCATGATCGCATTACAGAGCATTCATTAAAAAGCTAATACTAGAAAAAGTAATTAAGAAATAATCAATTAGAAAATAACTAATTTCTACTAAGGCTGTTTTGAGTGTCTTATTGAATTCCGAGAAAAAGTAGTTGAGTTTACCCAGCGAAGATACTGATAATAATAATTCACGGAGAATATTCTGAGTAATTATAAAATAGGAATATTTTTTACACATTTGGAATTTCACTGTCGCATTTCAGAGCATTCATTAAAAGCTAATACTAAAAAAAGTAATTAAAAGATAATCAATTAGAAAATAACTAATTTCTACTAAGGCTGTTTTGAGTGCCTTATTGAATTCCGAAAAAAGTAGTTGAGTTTACCCAGCGAAGNCCGAAAAAAGTAGTTGAGTCACGGAGAATATTCTGAGTAATTATAAAATGCGCATATTTTTTACACATTTGGAAATTCACTGTCGCATTTCAGAGCATTCATTAAAAGCTAATACTAAAAAAAGTAATTAAAAGATAATCAATTAGAAAATAACTAAATTCTACTAAGGCTGTTTTGAGTGCCTTATTGAATTCCGAAAAAAGTAGTTGAGTTTACCCAGCGAAGATACTGATAATAATAATTCACGGAGAATATTCTGAGTAATTATAAAATACGCATATTTTTTACACATTTGGAATTTCACTGTCGCATTTCAGAGCATTCATTAAAAGCTAATACTAAAAAAAGTAATTAAAGGATAATCAATTAGAAAATAACTAATTTCTACTAAGGCTCTTTTGAGTGCCTTATTGAATTCCGAAAAAAGTAGTTGAGTTTACCCAGCGAGGATACTGATAATAATAATTCACGGAGAATATACTGAGTAATTATAAAATGCGCATATTTTTTACACATTTGGAATTTCACTGTCGCATTTCAGAGCATTCATTAAAAGCTAATACTAAAAAAAGTAATTAAAGGATAATCATTTAGAAAATAACTAATTTCTACTAAGGCTCTTTTGAGTGCCTTATTGAATTCCGAAAAAAGTAGTTGAGTTTACCCAGCGAAGATACTGATAATAATAATTCACGGAGAATATTCTGAGTAATTATAAAATGCGCATATTTTTTACACATTTGAAATTTCACTGTCGCATTTCAGAGCATTCATTAAAAGCTAATACTAAAAAAAGTAATTAAAAGATAATCATTTAGAAAATAACTAATTTCTACTAAGGCTGTTTTGAGTGCCTTATCGAATTTAAACAAAAGTTAATTGTTGAGTTTACCCAGTGCAAGTACTGATAATAATAATTCGCACAGAATATTCCGAGTTATTATCAAATGTGCATATTTTTTATAAATTTAGAATTTAATTATAGCATTTCAGAATATTCACTAATAAGTAATTTAGATAGGAAAAAGTAATTCTATTAACGATGAACGGAATTTAGGAAAAAAATTGAGCTTACCTACCGCAAATACTAATAATAATAATTCGCACAAAATTTTATAAGCTATTACTAAAAGCGTGAATAGTTGCTTACACAGCCTGAAATTCAATATCATATAACTAATGACTCATTATTTGGTAATTATGTAGTTAAGAACAATTAATTTCCGGATAAGCTGTTGATATTCACATTCAGTTTAAAAATCCTTGTTAAATATTCACTATAAAATTCAAAATCCCTGTTAAATATTCCCAATATTGATGTTTTTGGAATCAGAATTTAATCATAATGATAATATATTATTTGAATGTATTTAGCTTAAAAAAGGCAATAATTCTGACAACAACAACAAAAAAAACCCTCTCCAGTCAAATGATATTAATCTCGAATAACTGTTCAAATGTTCAAATGGAACTTAAAAATTGTTCAAATGTTCATATCTTTCATATAAATTTAAAATTCCATTAATAAATTTCAGTGTTTTCATTAAATAATAATTATATAGTTAAGGAAGTTATTAAAATTTAATTTCCAGTTAGATTGTTGTACACTTTAGCAAATATTTACATTTTCTGAAATATTAGAAGCAATATTTCATTGTCGTGTTTCTTAGATTAAGAGATAGAGAAAATGTTCAGAACTAGAAAGTTAATTAACTTTTTCCATTCAAGATATTAATAATAAAAGGAACCCACGTAGCTTAAGATTGTTAAGTCTTACATAAACTTATCACAAAAACAAATAAAATAAGAAAATTCTCTCTCTAGAAATAATAATTAATTCTGCTTAAAAAAGTTCTTAAAATATTTAGTTCAAAGCCTGTATTTATCAGAACATATTGGAATTTATCAGCTAATATTTCATTTATTGTAACGAATAAATACGATTAATGTCTTTTTCATATATCTTTTCGCTAGCGTTTCAGAATAAATCTCATTTTCATGATTTTAAAGAAATAACAATATCTTCCCATTAATATCTCCCACAATTCACAAAATTCAATCTCTATTTCTTAATATGCATGTAACAGAATTCTTTTATAATTCCAAATGATCTTTAAAATATTCATATACAGGAAAAACAAATTAAATTATTCTAAAGAAAATGTTTTAAAGAAAAAAAAATATCGAAGGTTATATTAATAAGATCTAGCAAACTTTCTTTTTAAAGCATGCAATACAACGATTCATCTTCCATCGCAAACAAAAGTACGGTTATTTCTAAGGGTTATTTCGAAAATGAGGTAAAGAAAATTGGAAATAATAAATCATTTTTAGAAAGAAAAATCCTTTTCTCCCAGCTCTGAAAGAAAATTGTGTTATATTTTCAATATTTAAGCAAGCGATTTACGCCCGAGAATCAATTATACAGTTAATTAAATATTTTCAAAAAGTAAAACAATCTCGTTTCAAATTTCCATGAGCATGAATTTCGAATCTGCTTTCTACTAATCTTCGTAAGAATTAATAGTAAAAATATAAATTACTTCTGATGAATATTATAATCATTTTCACTCATGCAAGTGTTATTAATATAGAATCTGATGTGAAATTAATTCGAGAGTTATAAAGATTCGATTTAAGAAATAGTTAGTATTCAGTATAACTAGAACTGCATTCAAAGTTTAATATTCAGTTCTGCTTGATTTTTATCGCTTTGGAATCAAACTCATTCTATTTTCACTAACTTTACTTCTAATTTTAATTTGATATAAACAATGCATTTTTAAATAAGTTTATGTCACGCTTATTATTTCTAATTTATATTAGTTAATGCGGTTATAAACTGTTTTTCGAACTTTAATTAGATGATCCTTGTATGTGATCAGCATTCAATTGAGATTCTATTGATTTTCATTATGGAATATCTGAGAATTATGTAGAATATAACAGAATAGAACTGCATATGAATGAATTTTAATTAGATTATTCTTGTATGTGATCAATATACAATTTAGATTCGATTACTTTTTATAGTGACATAAATTTTATTTCATTGTACAAGTGATGAAATATAGAATAATTACAACTTATCTAAAGTAGTCTTTAATACGATGAGACAAAGAAACTACTTGTTATAAACACAGGCCATTTTAAAAACACTTTTGAATGTATAGTTTAGAAATATTATTTCTAAAGAAGAAATTGTTTCCACTTTGGGTGCCGTAAATGAATATTTTAGTTAGGAAGAGATATCGATATCGATACTATTCCGATATCGAAGTATGACAAATTACATTACAGGAAATTCGGATGTAATAAAAAGCAAAACAAGTCTGATTGAAGATTAAAATTGTCTCAATGATCGTCTTGCAACTAATATTAGTTTCTTCTAGAAATCCAGCTGGTTCTCATGTTTCGTACTGCAACGTTCTTCAGTAGTAATTTTTGAAATATCGAGCACGTTTTTTTTCGTAGTTATTGATTTGTGACTCCTAATGTCTC